GGGAGAAAAGCGAATGACCGGCGCTTTAACTAGGTTGGTGGGTACGGAGAGTCCACCTAGGGGAGTTGAAAAACCCTCATTCCAAACCAATGGTGTACATGGGCTGGCCCCAGTATCCTGAGAGAACAAATGGCATATGAACCTATTGTTGGTTACCGGCTACCATGGGACTGCATCGCCTAATGTTTCGCCACTGCCCTGTGGATTTGACCACTAGGTCAAAGGCTCCGAGTGTGGCCCTGTAAGAAAACCACCTAGTTCGGCTTGGGCACTCGAGCAGTATCCTAGCCCTAGTACAGGACTTTTCAGCAGTGCGCATCCACGACCCATCACATGGGACCTCTATACTGTCGAAGGAGCATCCGACGGTGTTTATGTTTAACGTCAATTAATCCGCAAAATTGCACGACCATCTACGATTATTTGAGGTAAATACCTGTCTGTACCGACACAGATTAGCTCCACTGGTTACGGCTTCTCATTAGAACTCCGAGAATCACCATTCAAAGCTAGTCACTATTGAGCACATGGTAATTATCAGTATAGGATTGTAGCGATTGCTGAGTTTAGATTTGTATTAAGAATGGCGGATGAATGTAAGACGACGAGTGGAAAGCTATATGTACTGGACGGCCGTTTCGTCCTAGTATGGGACCCTTCAGCAATGGAGGATCGTAAATATACACTGCTGAAGAATACCATACTAGAATGAAACGGCCATCCAGTACTTCCAAGTTTTCAATAATGGTCTTACATCAATCGATTCGTGATCTCTACAACTTTGTACTGAAACCTTTTTTATATTTTCTCTCTCATTAAAAACCAAACTGTTCATTTTCACACTAATCTGTATTTCAGATGAATAAACTACAATCAACCATGGATTTGATGATCATGAAAATAATAAGAAAATTATGTAATTCTCATTACTTATTTTTTAGAAAACTTATCATTTTATTATGTAACATTTCAACTAGTCTAATCATTATTTGGTGCAATTTATCATCTACCACACATACACACACAAAACCGTTAACCTTGTAATCTTAATGAAAGTTATTTAATGAATACATCATCATCTTTATGATTATCATGTTAATTAATCTCTTTTTTATCAGTGTTGAGTTGAGGTTAGACATTGACACCGTTGGATCTTGGCTGTGTAGTCTACAGGGTTAAGCGTTCGTGTGCGAGATTAAACGTCCACAATATAACGAAACGGTCGTCCAGTGGTTCCAGGTTTTCAATGATGGTCTAATATCCATCAGTTCATGATTTTGTCCAATGGATTTATTTTTGTTTAAGGATAGTTAGAGATCTTATGAGATTATGTATTAGTGGAAATAATTGTGATTAGCCATTGAATGTGAATAAAAAGGCATCTAGCTTATTGACTTCAAAATGAGATTTCCTTTCCTATTATTGATTTATAATCTCAATTCATCAAGTGTAGCCTATCTGTAATTTTGTTGAATATGGTTATTTTCTAGTCTATACTCTAGTTCTCTATATTTGACTTTGAATGATATATTTTGGATAATGTGGTCCAGTTTATGTATCGATCTAGTAGTAATGTAATCTGAATCATTAGTTCTGTTGTTCCAGTGTAGAATATCATAGAAACTGAAAGTACATTCGTCCTACCCATCATATAATCTTGGCGACAAATCGGTTATCTAATAGACCTAGTCACTATACTATGTATTGTGATCAGATAATAATCAGAAGAAAAATGGACATATTGTACAAACTCAAATGGGAATTACCGACATTGTGGAAAAAATTGTTCGTAATAATGTTAATGTCTGATTCCAACTGATCTAAATTGTTGTGAGAAAATAGTTTCAGATGAATAAAGCCCAAACTAAATTTCCAGCATTATTTATCAGAAGACATCGGTTCACTTAATGATTCAAGTATTTCTAGTGAAATCTTTAATTGATATAAAGAAAGTATGTTAAATGTATCAAATCCTGATGCCATTTCATCAGATGTGAACTGTTCGAATGACTCGGAGCCTTAACCACGTTAACAGACACAGAGGATATACATAGGAGAGTTGGAAAATGTTATATTTGGTTGTCGCTGGTTGCTGTGCCGGAAAAACGCTGATCATTTATACTAGGGACGAGAGACCTCGGGAATTCCCACGATGCGAAAGTAACAACACAAGACTGGTATAAGTGAAGATTTATTAGCCCCAAACACTATGACAACGACGAATCGAAATCTAATCCGAAATACACTGGTTTCTATATTGATTGTACATCCAGTTTGATTAATAATTAGGATTAAATCACATGCTCAGTTATAACAAATCAATTACTGAGCATAGTTCATGTCAAGTGAATACAAGAATATCGTATATTATAAAGAAGAAAATATACTGGTAAAACAAATCAAATACTAGACTGAATGATCCTGACGTTGAATCAAAACGGAAATAATGTTGAATAAAACTAATAATTCAATCGAAAATTGACTTTCCCTTCCATCACATCAGAAAACCACAATTCCAAACCAATGGTATACATAGGCGCTTTAACCAGGTTGATGAATATGGAGGATTCATCTAGGGGAGTTGGAAGGCCCTGATTCCACACCAATGTGCACATGGGCTCCAGAATCCTGCGGGAAAAAATAGCATATGAACCTATTGTTGGTCACCGGCTACCATGGAACTGTATCTTCTAATGTCGCTCCACTGCCTTGTGGATTAGACCTGTAGGTCAAAGATTCGGAGAAGGGCTCCCTGAGGAAACCACCTGTTTTTATTTGGGGGTTCGGTCAGTATATCAGCTCTCAAACAAAGGGAATGATAAAGTGTGGCGTATATGTATTTGGTACCTTCTTGAACCAATGTTTGTGTTTCAGCAAATAAATTCGAATAACTCATTTATGTTTCGTGAAATCCTTAGTAAATGAGACTTCGAATGATGCTATCTCATCTGGTATATTCGTCCTCACAATGCATATATTTGCAGTGAAATCTCTTATCATCGTTATAAATATGCCCTGAATGAGTTGAATTCTGATCAGATATTATCGCAACTAATGTATGTCGAGTAGTATCTCTAATTAATGCTGTGATGAATCACAAAATAGCAAATGTTCCTGAAGCAGGCAGAGGGCCAATATGTTTAAATGTAGTAGTATTACATGGAAACGAGCTGTTATATCAACGACCAGGTTCCTTGAATTTATGCAGTAAATTCGTGGAAAGTTTTCTGGAAACTATTCGATAATATTTATGGTACATAAGTCTTTTTACTCCTTCTAAAGTGTTTGACACCAACAAAAAGAACTCACGCAAAAATAATTGGAAATTCATTTTAAATTGATTGATTTAGGTACTGAGGACAATCGTGTGATTGTATGTAAAATAATGTTTATTTTGAAGTGAAGCATTTAGGATTTCAAAATGTTACGAGCTCGATCCCAAAATACATGTTTTTTGCCTTGCCGTAATGGAATAAAAGTACCTAGGAGACAGCAAAGACGCTGGTTTTTTGGTAGTAAGTGATTAGAGCGAGTAATGTGGCAGAGAGGCTTTAGATAACTTATTGGACCCACTCATCCAAACGTGCTTTATAAAAGGATCTCAGTCTAAACAAAGTTTGTTGCTTAGATCCAGGATACTAGTTGTAGATTATGGAAGGAGATTGATACTCAACCGCATAATCAACACGGCACAGTATGAATCCGCATATTAAGTTGTGCCAAAAAAAACATTTACAAACGTAAGCAACATTTAGACCTAAATTACACTGTCAAGTCGCCTTTTTGTTGTTTTCTGAAGTTCGAACATGGTTGATTGATGCGCATCCTTCCAATACATGTTCTTATGAGGGTGACATTTTACGAGGACATCGATGAAACTACATCCCTACCTTTAGACGTAAAAATTTGTATTGTGATCGATAAATGAATCCACCAATACCAGCATTAAACGTCCACTACTAGATTAGCTCACTTTGATCTTTATATGTATTATAATTCGTTTACTTTCCAATCAGAATCTTACATATTTACCATAAATGATGAAAAGTTCTGTCATCCCATTATTATCCATTCTCTAGTAACTATTCAAAAACATGAAGTTTATTAAGTTGAATAGCCTACTTTGGTGGGGCTATAATTTATGGACGACGTAGACTGACCTTGAGACTGTCCATTTGATAACTAGGATCAAATGAGGGTAATAAATTAGTGTGAGAAATTAGAAGTATGATTTACAGTTGACGGTTAATGTTAGAAATTAGATTTAAAGGTTTTCATTACAAATTGACATCAGCTATAATGCCAAGACTTTAAATTTAGTCAAATAGATGAGTGAATTTCGTGTCAAAATTCAAAAACTTGTTATCTTAAATCTGATTAGTTTGTCCATCAGCCAGTCAGTAAACAACTTTAGAAATTCGTACATACGTAAATCAGTTCGAGTTGCCACACTACATTAGCATAGAGATGCAGTGGTCAATTCAAATCCCGTAGTGGTAGCGGTAATAAGAGTATAAGCAGTACTCGGAAAGATTAGTGTTTGGAGATGTTACTTGAAGAGTATAATACAGTGAAATAAATTTGGGAAGAGAAAAAAAGTGATAAGGAGATCAAAATTTGGGAGAACACAAAGAGTGGATGCTCTTCAGCCATTGCAAACGATTTTGAGCCATGTCATTCAAGGTCTCTAACCATCGGTCGCTATCATCTCGCGGTCACCAACCACGTGGTCTACACCTACTAACATGACTCAGTCCACTCGTCAGTGACTTCATGAACTTGTGCCATGTTTTGGTCTGGCCGCCCCTAGCTTTCTTCCAACCTACCCCTATACCATTGAGCATCGCACATTCGGTGGTTGGGCATACGTAACACGTGTCCCAGCCATCTCAAGTGATAAAGTTTCGCCCACCTAAGTGTTCCAACTTTGAAGGTGTTCAATCGCCTAGGGTTTTTTTTCCTTTTTTTTTTTAAAATTCCTAACAAAACAAATTGCACTACAATAAAGAAAAAAATATGTTAAACAATGAAAATGTGAAGTACAATAATTTGGAAATGCACTTTTCAAAATACAAAAAAAAATAATCTTTATAACAGAAAATATAATAAAAAAAAAGATTTGAACTCTGGAATAAAGAGAGAACTAAACAAAACCTGAGAGATAATGTTACGGATAAAATGATCTTTAAAGAATATACTTGTTGTTTGTTTTCTAAAATGGATTAGACTGATTCAATAAATGTGACTCCTTATTTTTTTTTATTGATTTACCAATTTGGATTACCAAAACGTTGAATTGTTTTATATGCTTCATCAACATCTTTACGTGATTTCATTCGCATATAAAAAATTGGACAATCTCGACTGAAATATAAATGTTAGAAAAATAATTGAATTTAATATGTGGTGAATGAATGCTACTACTTATAAGACAGCTTTTAAAAGTAGTATGTAGAGAAGTGTCAAGTAGAAGTTGATATAGTCGACAAGCGAAGAGAAAATATTCAGGAGATTAAGAAGACCAGAAGATGTAAATTGATGATTGATGCCTTGGAGTACCACATTCATCAGATACAACTTTTGGACTATAGCGTAAATAGCCTGGGCAGCTAAACAATTGTTGAGTCTGAAAGTATTGTCAGTAACAGATGACACTAAAACAATTTGACTCTAGGCTGCCTTCTCTCGCTTCTCTTTTGGTCTTCAAAGTATTCTGTACATGCCGTGCTTTTTGACCTCCTGGAATTTTTCTCTTCGGCAGTCAACTGTAGTAATTTCCATTTGACATTCCTCTATATACGACTTATTAACAATTTTGTGAGTAGTGTTCGCCACAACTAGTTTTACAAATAGTGGGAGGCATATGTAACATGTGATAAATGAAAGAAATTTATTATGTTAAGGAGAAGATTTAAACTGAGTATAAATGATACTTTCATGGGACGGTTGGATTCGTAATGTCAGTTGAACCATTCGATTTCCCATCACTAGAACGAATATAGCTTGGTTGCCTACATTAATTTAGGTAGTTAATCAGTTCGGTTATTAACCCTACTTTTCATATAACTGACGTATGAATTAAATCAAATCCACCACGCTTGATAAGTGAATTATATAACAGAAGAGAGAAAACATCAAACTGAAAGATATCATAGTTAGCCCATCGGAATTTCTTTTTAACGAAATTTGAATTGACAGGAAACGCTAATCACTGAAATGAAAGTTCTGAATGTGGTGTTTTAGATGTCGATAGAACCGGATGACACTCCAGTCAGTAGTTTTCGATATACAGTGAAGACAAGGAAAAAAAAGGTTGTGAAGAACGATATATTTGAATGGAGGCAGAAATAGATAAGTACAAAACGACTAAGCTATTTGAATATGGATTGGTAGTGAATACCGGATAATAGATGATGGTATGTACAGCTAATGGTTTTCCTATCAATCGTAACAAGGAAACACTAAGATAAGTGCAGCTTGCAAGTTTAAGATAAGGTAGAATCTACATCTAGAATCTAATTTGTGAGAGGTTTATTGAATTGTATGCAGCTAATGTACGAATGCAAATGATGATGAAGCGTCGGATCAACGAAACAATAAGCTAACAGAAGCCGTTCAATAGAATAAAAATGTTAAACTGTATGCAGTAGCTTCTTCCTCTAGGATTGATCACGATTCAGACATATTCAAGACTAAACTAACATCAATATTTGGAACTCACACCACTCACTGATTGCAGTTCGTGATCATTAAAAACTAGGAAACCCTTTATAACCATTTCGTCAAATGTAGGTTTTTAGAAAACTATGCATTATTGACCTCAGTAGGAATCAGACTTAGAATCTCTAACTCACTAAGTTTAAATGTGTAACCTCAGTCAATTCGCGATATTGTAAGACCATCCATCATTCATTGTTATCACTAATACCGGTTTAACATGATCGAACTCCATTCAACAGTTTTGCACGACAACTCTGTTTACGAGTCATTAATGAGCACATTATCATTAGTCTAGGTAGTTTGTCGAGATCGTTGAATTCCTAGTTTATATCACGCAATGAATGTAACTCAAAGTAATAATAATAATAATAATAATAATAATAATAATAATAATAATAATAATAATAATAATAATAATAAATCTACCTGGTACATATAACTTCTTCATGTATACTTTGTTGACAACGTTGACATTCTGTCCATAAAGAAGTGAATTTTTTCTCTAATAAATTTAACTGTACAATTTCTTTTTGATAAATTTCTGATGCACGTGATTCACAATATTTACATAAAGCTGCGTCTAGATTTGACGAAGAAGAAGTAAACGAAGAAAAATATAGATAATAAAACAATTTCTGAGTTGATTAGGACTTAATTTCCCCTCTTTCTTTCTCCACTTTTTCCCACATCGCAGCTGTTACCTTCATGTTCTTACAGAGTTATAGTTAATGTTGGGATAGTTTGATGGTAATTAGTTACAAGCTACTACTAGAATGAAAGATATCAGCTGATTTGGGTCAGTATCTTCGTGAGCAATTTTATGCTGACAAAACAATTAACAAGCATGAACTTCAAGTCCTGAGTTTTATGTTGGTTACCTTTAACCATCTACCTTAGACCTTAGCTGCTACCTTGATGTGGTGGTCATGCTTGCTTATCATGATAACTCGACTGAAATATAGTGGCTGGAACACATGTTTTTGTAGGTCTTACTATACCAGATAGGTGAGTTGGAGAACCATAAGACTATAAGCAGCAACTTAAGGTCCGAGTGCGAAGTAGTACTGCTGACTGTACTGAAGTGTGACAGCAGTAAGATAATTTCCTTAGACAACAAGTATCCGGAACGATGTTGCCTCCTCATAACGGAAGAAGGGATAAGGAAAGGTCGACCATATAATTGTCACATCTCACCTTACTCCACGGATTTTCGTCTCTGGCGGTAAAGCCTTTTGGATAGCAGAGCTAACACATCGAAAACATTCGATGAAAAGGCTATGTGTGACCGAAGTCAAGTAGCTGTCACATCGACTCTCCGGTCACGTTCCTAGGTCACTAAGACCACAATTAAGAGGTAACACCGTCTCATGATAAGGACAGCCGGGAGATGACAACCGTTCTCATACCTTTAACAGCACCCGAGGTCATTTTGTTCACGAACATATTCCTCCATCACCTTGAACTGACTTACTACCAACTATCTATCTAAACGATAATGGACTTTTTTTAGTAAATATGTTACCTTTTTATTGAATGTGAATACTTGTTTAGTTGTCAAGCTCAATGTTGTTAGAAAGGAAAACAATGGAATAATAGAAAATGATACACAAAAAACCTTCACGTGTTCAACATAATCTCCCTCTCACCTGTTTTATCAGCAGGTAATAATGTTCTACATCCAATACATGATGCACGTACTTTTGTAAAAGCTGATAATTGTCCAACAGTAGAGTGTACCACAGCTTTTACACGTGTATGTTCGCCATCTATGCAGCACAAAGAAAAAATAGGAAGTTTTGTAAAAAAGAAATAAATGTGATATTATTGCACCGAAAAAAAACTGGACGTTAGATAGTAACATACTGAGTCCCGCGTAATCGGGCTATGATGACAAAAAAGCCGTTGTATAATCATTCTCTCTCTCTCACCCTAATGTGATTATTGACTAGTTCACTTATAGTGCCATTAGAACCATTGACGTATTTACCAAATGACATATGAACCAAGAACATAACACTTTCTCCTCAAGCTACTGGAGACCCCGTGGCTAATCAGAGGACGAAGATAGAAAGCAGCTCATTTGTGTTCAATTCAACCATGACTCAAAACTCACTCAATGGCATACTTGAAATATTTGACCACGCGGCGACATAATCAGGGAACTGCAGCATGTACACAACTCAATAATAAGTGATACAAAACCAGAGTAATAGAAGAGTAATCAATCAGTGATAAATCTGGAATGATATGACATACAACAACGATTTATGGATCGGACAAAACTTAAAAATAGGCAGGTCTGAAGATGTGCAAATGAAGTATTTAATGTATGGCTTCCATAATTTACGAAGACACTTTGTAATTTCGCACTATACAATAAATTGGTCATCCGCACAAAGTCTTCGTTCACCATACATCCACCACCTATCAAGTAAAACTAACAAAACTACATACAAACCTTTCCGATATCGATTACTGCATGATTTATAAAGAAGGCTGTGTTGAGTTTTACAAATTTGCAGTAATATGCACAGACACTGTAGATGGATAGATAAAACATTACGAAAACCAGCTAACTGAATCAAGAGACGAATTCTAATTTGGAAATCTCAAGATAAAAGAAAAGCAGACCAAAAGAACAGTGTCAGAAACACACCAAGAGGATGAGTAGAACTTGACAACAATTGGAAAGGAGTGTTCAAAACAAATTTCTTGGTCAATGGTCTATACTCCACGCGGGGTAAGTAACAAGTGTAAGAAGTAATGAACAGACACAATTTTTTTAAAGAGAACAATATACAACAACTTACTTAACAGTACAGACTTTGCTTTCACTTCACCTAAAATTGGTTCAAATATACGTAGTAAAGGGTTAGCTAATTGATTTTCCAAATAATACTTTGTATCAATCGGTACATTATGTTCTAATACATAGAGGGGATCTTCAGCTTTTGCATAAGCTGCTGTATTTTTCCCACCTACAGCAGTAATTACATAAGGTACACGATCGCCTAAATTTGGTGCTGAGCCTGGATCACGTTTACGCATTTTTGCAGCTAATTCTACATGAGCTTGTTTACCAGTGTATTCTTCATCGGTTTTTGTTAATTCTTTACTAATAACTAATTGTGAAATGTCAATACGATTGCATAATAAATCTGAGATCACTGATTGGGCATAATTAATCGCTGCGTTTGGATCACTGAAAAAAAGAGAAAAATTACAAAAAAGATGTATGGAAAACTATTGAATAATAAAAGGTGAGAAGTCTGCAGAGAAACTATCCAGTCCGAAGAAAGGTTTATAACACGAATTGACTTTAGTTCAAAGAACTAACGGGAACAATTAAGTGAAGAGGACAGCTATTTTGTCTTTTGCATCATTCAACTCTGTTATGTAGGTGACTATTGAAAGCTAAAAAATCTACAGTAGTGGATAAATCAGAACTATTCTCCATATCGACGGAGACTAGATGCTAAGTTTGAAACTATCACGAGTTCGCTTAATCTGCGAACGAGAACAAAGACTCAGTGACCAAGAACCAGTAAGCTAGCTATTTGATGCGTCTCAGCGCCGCTAACTAGAGGGAGAAGTCCAAGCTTGGAATGGGAAGTATATTCTGCAAAACAGCCAGAACGAGCGATTACACAGCGATCCACAAGCACGATTCAAATATATATATATATATATATATATATAATCGATATTGCCATGGAAGTATTTTTAAACATTTAATCGATGATTTAGTCGATCGACTGCCATAGAAATATTTAACATTTAATCGATAAGAATAGTTTAGTTAATTAACAATTATACGGTAAAAAATATATACGTATAGTCTTGGTCCACAAATGGATCCCAAAAATTACCATTCATTATTGGTATCAGGGCATAACACTTAACAAATTAAAATAGTCATGTTATTTAATTCTCCGTATTTATATGACAACAATAGGATGTATATTACAAAATTTAACATAGAATTTGGCTACTTAACAGTAAAGATGAATGTAGAGATTTGACGTTACAATAGGCTGTAATCGGTTAATGAATAAAGACAGACAGACGCCTATTCCATGATCTAGTTTTACACGGTAAATGATTCACGTAAAATTTCTATTCTGGGTTCATTGTGTGCGAACCGTTTGTCCATCGAAAGATTAAACTTCCCTGTCTCTATAATCTGATGTTTAAATGTTAATCGGGAATGTGTATTTGTGTATAACGTGAATTGGTCTAGTGGTCTGATCTTTTCGTATTTAGTATTTCGATCTGGTGACGCCAGTTAAATTATCCAGTCTAGTGTTGGTGTATAAATTATTTGGCATTATCTATTGTATTCTGTACTGTAGGAACAAATATATTATTATTATTGCTGTTAAAATAATATTGTTGAATTTCGTGGTTCCACATTATGGACTGACCATAGATAAACGATTGAGAACTCACGATCTGAGTTTCGATCCCTGATGTGCTCGAGGATGCGCAGTCTTGAAAACGTCCCATACATAGGATAAAAAAACAATCCAATGCTTCCCAAATTTTAATTATTATCTAAGTAGAGTCTGTTCGTGATATCACACCTATTTCGACATTTATCCTCAGTGTAGGAGATCGGTAGCTTTCTGAAATGTCAGTTTTAATGCTGCACTTATGTAATGCTTTTTTGGCTGTCTATGACAAGTTGTATATAGTTTTCGAGTGTCTATCAAAGATAAATAGAAGGTTCCTAATGGAAACTCCTGAGATATTCGAACAACAAAAGTTAAAAGATTATTGCTAATAAAATTTCAGGTCGTGAAGTGATAACTTGTTTGTTTATGTGATATTTTTTTTCTTAGAAACTAGCAATGTGACACAAAATCCCATTAAGTTTATTTAAAATATGACGATAGTAGCATGTAGGAGAAGTCTGTAGAAAGAATGGGGTGTTCATTTGATTTTGAACTCGAAAAACTTCCTCAATCACGATCATAAATAAACCAGAACTTAGTAGTCTAACACACCTTGGTCAAGTATAGGTTTTTATCAAATAGTTTGTAGAAATTAGAAGTGGCTACCAAAATCAAAGTAAGTGTAAAAGGATTATGTCGTGCAACAAAATGGTAGAAAGTCGTTTTGCATTTGTTATTAGTAAGTGATGTATGGACGACGAAAATAACGACTGATTGTTTGTTTAGTCAGATTAGTAGAGAGTCTGACAGGTATTAAATGAGTTATGTATTTTTCGACCCTTATTATTGTTGTGACTGTTATCTGTTGTTAGCATAGAAATAAACTGACATTCTATTTAGGTCAGTCACGTGTTCTCGATCTGAAATCCTGTAGAGAAGACATTGGGACAATCGTCTAAGGTGAATTAAGGTCTCATTGTGTAAGGTAGAAAACAGAGCTTTATTCCAGAAAGTGATTGAAATCCATTCCCATTAAACGAAATCTCCACACAAAAAAATATATATATATGTACATACAGGCACAGAAAACTTTAATTTTCTTACCGATCAATCAATATACGCTCTAAACATGCATTGATTAAATTAGCCACCAATGGACTATTATCACGACGTACAGTTTCAATACCTTTACAATCCATTTTATCGTGTCGATCTGGTTTTGTAAAATACAAACCAGCATAACGTTTTTTATTGATTAATAAATATGGACAATAAACCTGAAATCAATTATATAAACATAGGAAAGATTATTTCTATCATGAAAAACTAAACGCATTGAAATGAACTAACGACGTTATGAAGGCTTATCAACATCAAATCAGATTAGTTATACACAACATAGAACTTGAAAAAATATGAATGGCGCGTAATCATCACACGTTAGTATAGTGAAATTGGGCGGCCTACTTGAGCATCTGGGCTACCTGTCACTGTCATCTAAATATTTCAACAAGTTATCTATTTTTGTTTGTTTTAATATATCATTATGTATATTAATCGCATAACCCATCCTAGTGCATCTCTGAAAAGTTTACAACCTTTCGTTGTCAAAGTTACAAAAAGCTCAATAAGAGATAATGTGGTCGCTGGCAATATGCAGAGAAAAGAATATATATTATTCAGATGTTTATTTACTGGACTGCTAACATCTAACTGGCTATCACTCAATATTTATCGTCAGGATCGACCAAGAAGAAAGAAACGGAAACTTGTTGAAATACTTTGTGCTGAGAATTCTATATTGTACCGAAAATATAATATTGAATAAAGCTTATAATAATAATAAATAAATAAATAATGAAATTGACCAGATGTCTGACAAATAAATGATGTCATAGATACAGTTGAAATGCTTGAAAAGGCGGGATCATTCGGCAAAATAAGATGCATGAAAGTAATAATGAAGCTCAAATTCTGAAGGAGAAAATAAAACGGCCTCGAATACTCATGATAAAAAATAGTATCTAAGTCAGTCACATTTAGCCGTGAACATAGAGACTAGCATAGATATGTGTTAGCCCGAGTTGCCATACCACAAGTGAACGAAGACCTGAATTTGAAAAGATAAATACCAAAGGAATCGAAATAATTGTGGCATCACTAGTAGTTATATTAGATATGTAGCAAGATAGAGCGTGAATGAGTTTACGTACGCTACTGCGACCGATTCTGACTGATGTGTCGCCAAAAGTCTCCAACCATTGATCGTGTTTATCAAGCAGACTCCAGCGGAGTAGTATGCACGTACCGACGTGGCTTACACAAATAGTGAGTGACTTCATGAGAGAATGCATAGCTTTGATTTGGCTCCCCTACATTTATTCAAACGTACTCTAACAACAGCTACAATCGCTAATAAAGTGGGCGATGGTTGGGTATATGAACCACTTATCCCAACTGCCTCGGTCGATGAGGGTGTACAACCTGGTCAGCTGATTTGCCATCTTTACCAAATAACCTATGCACTTATTCGGCCGTTTCAAGATAATTAAATAATCCTTTAAAGATAAGCATGATCGAAAGAGTGAAGCTTATGCATATTATGTTTCATAAACGGCGTAATACAAACCGAACTTCTACGCAGTATGCTCGCTCTTCGGTTAGCAGATGGACATCTTGACTACGCTACAAGTGATGCAAGTTAGGTAAAATTAATCAAGCTTTCTGTATCCATCCCGAGATTTTGTCGAACACCAGACCATCAGGACTGAAGAGACTCTTAGGATAAGTAGTGGTCGACGCACACAACTACTTCACTCCTTGTCACTAGGTCAGGCGTTGATGCAGACAGGTTATCAAGCAACATTTATATTATCTGGCGCATTTTTAAATCTTTGAGATCAGACACCACAAGAAACATAATTTCAATATGTACCATGGTATTTTCGATAGCGGTCGCACAAGTGTCAAAATCTAATGTAAGCAGAAGCATTTAAACTCGTACTTTTGTGATTACTGTTAAAGTGATCTATATATCTCTGTCTGGAACAAAACAAGTAATTAGTGCCAACTAAAATGAAGATCACCCCTGTATAAATCACATCACGATACATTAATCCAATAAGAAATCAAGTAAATTACTGAATATTATTGACCTAGGAATAGCTTTCATTTCTAAGAGATAACATATACACTACCAATGGTTTCATACTAGTATGGGACTTATCAGTGGCAGTGCGCATCCACGATCCCGCTTCGCGGGACTCAAACCCAGGACCTAACGGTCTCGTGCACGAACGCCTAATCTCTAGACCACTGACTCCCCAAATGCCCTGGTACGGCCGAGAGTAGAGAGAGTCTGCTCTCCCTCTCGAAATGCTCTCACACGGCCACGCGTATATAGCCTCTGCCAGGGAAGTCCTACTCACTGCCTTCTCCTGGCGGGGGTGTTCTTTACGAAAATGAGAGGACGAAAAGCGAATGTCCTGCGCTTTAACCGGATTCCAAACCAATAGTGCACATGGGCTCCAGTATCCGGAAGGAACAAATGGTGTATGAACCATTCTTTGGTCACCGGCTTCCATGGAGCTGCATTTCCTTACGATGCTCCACTGCCTTGTGGATCAGACCCTCAGGTCAAAGGCTCGGGGAGTGGCCCCTTAAGAAAACCATCTGCTTCAGTTTGGGCACCCGGGCAGTATCACAGCCCTTACATATATCGAATGAAATTTGTGTGGTGCATATGTATTTGGTGCCTCCTTGTACCAATATCTATGTGTTAAAATAAATAAAATAATAAACCGATGGTTTAATTTCTAATGGACATGTAAATGAAGATGCATATTGAAGCCATTGACCCTCGTTTGGTCGTATGAATTTATTATTATCTGGAGGGTACACGTCGAATCAGATTCGTCGTTGACGCTTGAATAATCACTGTGGCAGAATACGGTAGCACTGGGACGGTTAACCGGATTGGAGTAGTTACTCTACTAATCACAACAAAGTTTGGATGAGTTATTCGTAGTATCTATACACTAATATAGGCTGGTTATTTTATTCGTGAGGCTACACATCGATTCGGTTTATTTAGTGAAATTTCTCACTTTCAGTTTTTTCGCTCAAGTAGTTGCTTTGACTAATGTACAACGAAGCTTGTGTGTCAGTATCAAATTTTGGGCACCGCATGTCATACCGCATATCCTACCCATTCATCACATGAGATTAACTAAAATTAAACCGTCCAATCCATTACATTAAGTGTAATTGAAAGATGAGAGCAATAAGCGTTACATGTATAGTTCATAATTCATGTTAACAAATTATCACCAATGTCTACTGTTGTAATGACCGGTGTTTCAGAGTTGATGCTGATAAGTAAACTCCCTATATACGAGTCAATCAAGCTACTTGAATAAAAAGACCATCCATTTGGAAACTTCTGACTGGCCCAATATATATATAAATTAGGAGGCCTGCTTGAATATCTGGGCTACCTGTTCCTCCGATCTATATATTTCATCAGGTCATCTGTTTTGTTGTTTGTTTTAGCACATCATTATGTTTATTGTGAGGACAATCTATTCAGGCGCGTTTATGAAAAGTTTACAACCTTTCGCTATACGTGATACAAAAAGGTACAATCAGCGACATCATGGTGGCTGGCAATATGAATTGAACCGAATGAACATTAATCAAATGTGGATTACCGAACTCCTAACATCTAACCAATCACCATTCAAAATTTATCGTCACAATAGATCAAGGTATAAGAAAAGAAAACTTGTTGAAATACTTTATGCTGAGAATTCTATGTTGTACCAAAAATATAATGTTGAATAAAGCTTCTAATAATAATAATAATAATCCACTTGGAAACTTCTGACTGGCCCAATATATTATGTTCCATGATATCAGTTGAAATATTGAATAAATATTTATCTATTTATAGAAAATATATTCAAGGACATACCTTTTCGAATTCTAATCGAATTGGTTTAGGAAATTCTTCAGATATAATTTCGGCGGCTTTACGACCTAATTCCATAGCTTCCGTTACTGTGGATACACCAAATTTACACATCACTGAATCTGTATCACCATAAATAACCTATGAAATAAACAGGGGAAAAAAACGGTTACAAAATGAACATTCAGTCGATTTTTATTATTCGAAGAGAAATTCAAACCTAAAGACCTGTTTGAAAACCCGCCTTTCCCTCTCGAAATGCTATGACATGAACATGAGTATATAACCAATCCTAGGGAAGCCCTATTTACTGTCTCATCATGTAAGGGTTGTTGATTAAGAAACTAGGAGGACGAAAAGCGAGTGTACGTCGCTTAGACTGTGCTGGTAGGTACGAAGCAACCATATAGGTGAGTTGGAAAACTCTTACTCACAATTAATGGTACATATGGGCTTCAGTATCCTGAGGAAATAGACGGCGTCCGAACCTATTCTTGGTCATCAGCTACCATGGAACACCATCATCTTACATTGACTCATTGGTTTGTTGACTAGTCTCTAAGTCAAAGCCTCGGGGAGTAACTCCCTCTTAAGAAAACCACCTGCTTCAGTTTTGGGGAAGCGAGCAGTATCCTAGCCTTCAAATTTTTTTATCTAGTTCCCTCCCCCTTTAAACATATTTAAATATTATGCCACTTACCACAGCATCATGTTTATAACCATTAGCAATATTGAATTTACTTTCAACATGTAATTTTGTTTGTTCAATCATTAAACGTCCAAATGATGTAACAGAAGCGGATATTTCTAAACAAGGCAATTTACCAACTTGTGCGCCAGTAAATCCATAAACAGAATTAGCGCTAATTTTTAATGCTAATTGACGTCCATCTAAAACACGTTTACGTAATGGATCAGTTTCTTGAGCAAGTTCAGCTTTAGCTCTATAAATGGGGAAGAGAAAATGATAAAGAAAGTAAAACAATACCTTAACAAACTAATGAGATTCAAAACTGACTGCATAAGTAATTATTCATTTACTCTCATATGGCCAGGCGTATACAGCCAATCCTATGGTAGGCCTGTTCACTACCTTATCATGGAGGGGATGTTGCTTTATGAAACCAAGAGGATGAAAGTCGAGTGTCCCGTGCTTAAACCGAGTTGGTAGAAATAGAGGATACATCTAGGAGAGTTGGAAAACTCAAATTTTAAATCAGTGGAACACTTAGGCTTCAGGATTGTGAGGCAACAAATGAATCTATCCTTGGTCACCGGCCAACGTGGGACTGTGTCTACTAATATTTTTCTATTAGGCCAAAAGATTGGATAGTGACCACCGAGGAGTATCCCAACCCTCACACGAATTCAATGATAAGTGTGGCGCATATTTATTCTGGCGCTCTTTTGTACCAATGTTTATGTTTTTAAACAAATCAATATTTATTCGGAGCTGCAAAGCATTCTTCAACTCTCATACAAGCCTTAACTTAGAAGTCCTACTGATATATCCTAATGTTAAGGGTAACCATTTTGGAGTTTCTATATAGCACGTTACTCAACACTACCATCCGAATTCTGATGGCCCGAACATTGGTCCTACCTTCTTAGAGTCTTTTTCAAATTCATTAAACAGAATAATTTCCAAACTAATCAACATATTGTATGAAATATTAAATGTGATCAGTAGTAAAGTGAAATTCGACAACTAAAAAGACAAATGATATTTTAGAATATAGGACTTTATCAGTGAAAAACAGTATATAATGAATTCGTGAAACATATGTCAAAGAATTTAGTTTCAACGCTTTTCTAGTTGCCTGTAATAATGTGTAATAAATGTTTTTTTTAATCAAAGTGTATTCGATCATGAACAGGGTGGCGTTTGGTACTGTCAAACGCGTAAGCCGATTCCAAAGCTCTCCCTCTACAGTGAGAAGGCATTTTTATTGCAGATAGTGGTTTTCCGATGGGAAACCCTACTAATATCACACCCCAGTATAGTGAAGAGTATAAATGCGAGTTCGAACCATAGGTTCCTGCTTAGAGGTAGGTAGGCGGTGACCCACACCGTGTAGGAACACTTTGTCTGGATAGGTAGTCGTGTTAGCAACCGGGGAACGTGACAGTAGACCTCAGAAAAGAGGTAGTTGAGGTCAGGTCACAACATGACCTTCTTGTGAGTGGTTTTTGAGATGTTAGCTTCGTACTTTGGAAGCTATCACCAGCGACCTAAATCCGTGTGGTATGATAGTGTGCGAATTCCAGGTCTAACTATTCTTACCTGCTCGTTTCGTTCAAGAGTGGATAGGTGGAAATACTGAATGTTGTAGGAAAACGCCCAACTGCTGTTAAACCTCAGTACAATCAACACTTAGAAGATTTCACCCAAGGACCTAAGTTTGCTTTTTTTTATTCTTAATGTTCTCCAATTATTCGGTAACGTATAGTGTGAAGTGTGATTGATAAACGTACCTCACTACATTGATTTATTTTAAGTTCGGTATGGTTATGCTTCGTTATATTTGGAAACGATACTAAGCTTTATTTGAATAAAATTATATTTGAAATAATCTCAGTCATTGGAATTTCAATAATTTCAACGTTTCATCCAGTAAACTTGTATGAACTTCTTTAAGGCAATAATTAATAAACATATAATGTTTAAGAATCAAATCAAATCTACAAAAGATACTTATTCAATCATATTCAGAAAATGACTTTAGTAAGTAGAATAACAAATATGATTTCTTCATTAAGCGCCAATTATATCAGACTATTCGTTCAAATATTTGTATAAGATGTTAAACTTTGTTCACTTCCTTTTTGTATCCCCTAGCTACCCCATCCGGCGTATCATTTTTGTCACTCTGTTTTTTTTCCTTGTAATAGACAACATTGAGTTCTGGTTTTATATTAACGGTATTAATTTGCACTTCATAAGCATAGACTTTTCCAGGTCGAAAAGCTTACTTATTTTGACTTTGTTCACTCCAAGACGATGTTTTCAACAGCCTGAGGACTAGTTTAGAGATTCATCTGTAAGTGATTGATTTTTACATACGATAGGGACTAAAGAAGCAAGTGTGCTAATTAATATAGCTAGATCATCAAAGAAAAAACCAGCCACCATGTCAAGATAGAAGCTCCAGTCAGGCTGTAACTAAGTTACTGACAATGAATTTCTCCCACAGAAATTTAAAATGAGAGAATTAGATAAACAACAAACAATGGAATGCTCAGGAAACACATGGTCTCATATGTTTCAGAACTAAATCATGGAGTATACTCCAAAAGTACTTTTAATTGCTTTATGCGAAAATATTCATGCTTTTACAAGCGAACATGGCTTAAGTTAAATGAATCAATTACGTTATTATAAGAAAGTATTTAAATGAAGTCCCATTTAAAAGTGAAGTATGCTGACTAGAATTTGTATTTGAATAGACTTTTATTAAATGAAGAAATTCTTGACAACCACAGATTCCAAATCAAAGGAAACATAGGAAAAGATTAATGAGTGAAATATATTTTAGTTGGACGAATCTTTAGCAGGTTAAAACTCACAAGGCTATTTTTTAAATGATTATTATCATTATTATTTATAACTTTATTGCATTGCTATATTCTTATTGTAAGTGTACAGTGAACCTATTCACTGATATTATACCCTTTACTACTGCATAATTATTGCTAATTAATTATGAGTTGTTAGCAACGAACACTACCATTTATGATGTAATTGTGCTTAAAGTATGGTTTCTTATTTATCGTGCTGAGTAATCAAGAATTTTTAGTAAATTATTGTATGAGTTTTCTAACATGATCGATTTGGGTATAACAGAGAACTAATTTGCTCTTTTTATGCGGTTTATGAATGGCCCGGGGGACCAATAAATCGCAAAAACCTCGATTATTGTTCATTGGTCAGTGTGTATATCCGTGAAAAAGGTAGCCAACTCGACTGAGAATAACATACGTGATAGTGATTAGAAATTTTAGCTTTAAGAAAATTTACCTTGCCGCTTTACATACAGTAATATTTTCTGGATCTGTTAAATTATTCGTGAACTTTTCAAGGATAAAACTTTCAAACACGCTATTTACTGATTAAGATGTTGGTAGAGGAATAGAAACAGCTATTAGTTTCTCATACATCTTGCGTTAAGCGCGATACAATCAAGTCATTCAGTGAAATTCTTATGGTTTACATCATTAATAGCAAAGTGACAGTTCTGCCCTTGATAAGAAGAGTGTGCAAGTTTGATTTTGTAACGAGAACTTTAAGAAATCTATATAGAAAGAGGTAACTAGTTAAAATAAGATTATCTTATAGAAGTTTACGTTGAAAAAGGCACCCTTATCGGGATTTCGCTCTTAACGAGATTACACACTTACTTTTTTCTGGCACTTAAAAGCTGTTGTAAAATTTCCGGTAAAATACCATGACAGATATGTGATTTAACAAAATACGCTCCAGTCGGTGTTTTAATGTAATCTTCATCAGTTAAATTATAACGTTGAACAAGTGCTTGAATACCACCGCCCGTTGAACCATGTGGTGTTGTATTCACTTGTAACAAAGTTGTATAACATAGATTATGAGCCATCATTATACTTGGATATAGGCTAGCAAAATCTAATGTAGCTATCGGTTCATTATAAAAACCTTTGCGTGGTTCCAGTACTGTTGCACCGACGAATTCATCACCCTGTTGTGACTGATATGTTGGCAATAAATAACCATGTTCATGGGCTTTACGCAATAACTGAGACACTACCTATTGAAGAAACATAAAATATATTAGGAATCATGAAATCTTTCAATATAGAATTATGCTACTTACTAAATACCAGTAGTCAAAGATTCAGACAAAATGTATTTTGGAAGTTGGAACCGCGAGGCAATCTGAGCTAGACCATGATTGAAAACCTGGAAGCACTGGATAGCTATTCCATCCTAGTATAGGACTCCTCAACAGTGCACACCCCATTCTAAGACGAAGCGGCCTTCTAGTGTCCCAGGTTTTCAATGATAGTCTAGCTTAGATCGACTCATGGATTTAACTGTTAGTGTATTTGCACAAAAAAAGGTATACACATATACCAACCTTGACTTGTTGACCCCGTGTAAGTAGGTATGTTAATGGTACACCAGTAACCCGAGCCATTTCAATATTATTTACAATGCACATTAATTTATCTAATAAACGTAATGGTAAATAAGCATCTTTTAAACAATAAACAGCTAAACGTCTTCGTGTTTGAGCATCACCATTTTGTAAGTCAGTAATGACATTATGATGTACATCTTCTTTTTGCTCTTCAAGAAAATGATAACTCACTGCATTCAATGTATAACTTCGAAGTTTATAATCACGAAATAATATCTGAAACGAAATTTAAATAAAATAAAATAACTGACAAAAGGAACAATTCTATAAATGATGTAATAATATTAAAAATCATTCGAACAAAAAGTTTCATTTCAATGAATCGACTGAAGTTAGAAATGTAAACGATTGGATATTGTTAGGGTAGTTATTTAAAAGTGATACATTTACCTCAAGGTCTTACATATCTAACATCCTATAGGCTTAAAGATAGCCAGCAAGGTAATTAGTTCATAGTAGACTAAGATGAAATAGATGTCCAGAGTATCCTAGTTTTTCATGATTCTTTCAGTTACGGTCAGTCCATGAATTAAACTATTTTCAAAACTGATACAGACAAGGAATATTGTAATATGCCAAAGTCCAGTTCGGGTGAAATTTAATAAATAATGAATCGGTAAGAAAGTGAAAACCTTAGGATTTTGGTAGCGACCACCGTTTTTACAACGAAAAAACTGATACGTTTTATCATAAATTATTTGACCAAATATATTTTAGTATTTACATATTAATAAATAACACTGGATGTGTATCAGAGTGACACATTCATGCCAGACTGTTACTGCTACCTTGACGTGGTGACCAGGTTTATCTATCGTAATGAACCAATCAGGTTTTACTGGTTGAAACAATCGTTCCTCGAGATCCTACCATGCTAGACAGGCAGGTCAGTTGAAGGGCGGTAAGACTAAAAGTGGCGAACTCAAGGTCCGAGTGTGAAGTCGTACTGTAGACTGTGTAACGGCAGTAAGGTGTCCCCTTCAGACAACCAGCATAACAGAGATGGGGTTAGAAAAGGTCGACCCTAAAAATGAACAATTCGCCTTATCCAACGGATATCCGTCTCCGACGGTAAGGTACCAACATGTACGGAGCTAACACGGAAACTACTCACAAAAAGGTCGTGTGTGACCAACCTCAAGCAGTTGTTTATTGGGCACTGAGGTCACGCTCTCAGATCACTAAGACCAACTCTAACCCAATTTTCTTTTAAAGTACCTCTAGAAGAACCCTTCCACGGTGTGGGCAGTCAGGAGGTGATAACCGCCCTCATACCTCTAACAGAACTCAAGACCACCGTATTCATAATCGATTTCCCTCTTCAATTCCTATTATTCCCTGCCTCAACCATCAGCTCTATGATTCCTCCTAAAGTGTCACTATGATCAATGATTCTAGTGCGCGAAATACTGTCCCAGGTCTACTGAAACCTCTCTTCAAACAACACATTGGAGCCTTCAACGTACGTACTCTATGTCAAATCGCCCAGCAGGTTTCCTTGACTAAAACCCTAGAATTTCGTACCACTGGTTTATAATGTTTCCGAAACACGCATACAGGATCATAGTGTATATCCCAAGAATTGAGGTCACACTTAGGCAGTTCTGAAAACGAGGCTGACCCAGATGTTGCTTGGAAATATATACGAAAAGCTGTGGAAACAGCAGCGGCATTTATTAGTGATTTGAACCAAAGGGTCACGAAAAACCAGTGGATTTCCACTACATCCATTGCACTGATAGACTCTAATAAACCTATCCCACTAGGCTCAGAACACAACTAAGAGTGAAAACAAATCAGATCTAGGTTAACCAAAAGTTCACGGAAGAATAGTGAGCAGTGGTGGACAACGTAAGCAAAAGAGATGGAAAAGGCAGCGGCTGTAGGTAATACAAGACAGCTTTTCAGATTAATAAAAGAAACTGGAATTATGAATTCAATTGTAAGTGAAACAATCTCAGGAAAAAACGCCACTCTTATCTGATCTCAGTCTAAACGTTTAGAACGATGGGCGGAATACTTACGTCCTACGTTGTAGAGGATTGAGTGACTGATTGATGCATTAAGTCAAACATAGCTATTATTCCAAGCAAGTAATTGACAACGAAACCCGACGGAAATATAAAAATCTCGATAACGGTGTGTTCTTTCAGTTGGATGGTTTAAATGTGAAGCTTTCATTGTTATTTTGAACATCATCACTGTCTACTGCATGCAGAATTATTTTTAGATATTTCTATCACAAATGTGAGATCAATTCATTCTGGAAACCACGTCCGTCATAAACATAAAATAACCGAGTTGACAAATGAAATAATACAACATTGCTGCTATCAATACTACGAAGTCTTTCGTTTTCTATGATGCATACATATATATACAAGACGGTGTTCACGAGAAGTAACTACGTTCGATATTAAACCACCAGGTAGGATTCGGGTTCGAACCCTACCCCAACTAATTCGCTTTGGGCAGCTGGTTAGTATACCATAATCGTCTTCGCAAACATTGTGGACATAGTAAATGGATCATAGAAAAAAACCCACTGTAGGAAATAAAAATATGAAGTAAAGTTGTAAGAAACATGTTGATTAAAAACTACATACAGGTAAGACAATGGTCGATGTAAGACGGTATAACGTATAAAGGTCAATAGAAAACCAAACTAACCTGTAATAAATCAAACTGTACACGTCCGTCAATATTTACAAATTTATTCTCTCTACGACCCATTTGTTTTGATTGAGTCATAGCTTCCCGTATTGTAGAACGTGCGCCACGTATACGACCAAGAAATTCAAAACCATCAACTTTTAAGGTGTTAGCACGATTAATAAGATAAGGTAGATCGAAATTTTGTATATTATAACCAGTGATTATATCTGGATCAACTTCACGCACAAACACTGACCAATTCTAGCAATATAACAAAAAAATAGAAAGTAACAACTACACATACATATATCTACAATTGATTAATCATTGAGTAGTGACAGATGTCATGTATGTCAAGTACTTTTGAGTGCTGATTGAATTCTACCGATCAAGTTGCAATATGCCAACTAGTCTAAGTGATTCGACATGGCGTGTACTATGTTAAGCTGTGAGTTGATGGTTGGAGATAGTCGACAGGAAACACTGAAATTTGGTTTTGTTCTATCTGCTATTCGTTGACTAGATATACACCTGTAATTTTGAGGGGACTGATGCTTCCTGAAGGATTTGATCACATGTCGCTCAACTTCACATTCAGAGACATTACCAACGACCTATATGTTTAGGCACTAATAAACAACAACAATTAGGGATTCGTAAACATCTGTTATTTAGTCAGTTAGTCAGATGCAATGTAAAATATGGAACATATGTACATTAGTTTAAGTTGCCATACGCGATTAGTACAGTGAAATAAAATTGTAAGTGTAAATTTCAGAGTACTAGAGGTAGTAATAATACTCATGATAATAGAAAAGTTTAGGCACCAAAGAGATGATCTCAAAAATTACAAATTCTGTAAATAGAAAAGATGATAAGAAGTTCAGAAGTTCAAAATTTGGGAGAAGATAATGAGTGAATGCATTCGCACCACTGTGAACAATCTTGAGTCATGCCATCCAAAGTCGTTAAGCATTGACTACAATCATAACGCAAACACCAACCAGATAGTCTGCATCTGTTTACATACTTTAGTTGGATAGTCAGAATATTCATGGACTGACACCTTGTCTTGGATTGGCTGCCCTCTAGCTTTCTCCCAACGTACTCCTACATCAACCATCCTTACCCGTCGAGGTAGTCGGTGGATAGATATACATAGAGCCTCATGGTGAAGCCATTAGAAGCAATTGCTTGGTTATATATAATTACTGGGTTGATTTTGTGAGGCACTTTATAGAATTTTGATGTAATTTTCATATCAAATAAACTGTCAACCATGAGATATTTAGTTCCGCAATTAGATCTCGTTTCGCATAGGTAGATGGGTGAAGAAACATTCCAGAAGAATCTTTCTCTAGTTTTCAGTGATTCTCCGATTAGTTTTAATTAGCGATAGAAATCACATGTATAGATACAGTAATAAATAGACTAAAAACATAAATATATATGCACAACACAGCTTTATACTTACAGCTAACAGTTCTTCTTCCGTTTGATGGCAAATAACTTGTGAACCAACAATTGGTGCACATGTATTCAAGGTGAATACATTACGTATAAATGGTGTTGTTTCCCCATAGTTAGTAACCATATTAGCAATTTGTATAACTGGATCTTTATCGGGTACAGGGAATACACCTAGTTAAGTGAATTGAAAATGAAGTTGTGTGTAAATAAATGAATAATTTCGTGGCAACAGGTATCATATAAGTGACATTTGATGAACAGTAAGCTTCTAATTTAATCCAGTTCAATCAATTTTACACCAATAATTAATACAAACACATCAGCCCTGATAATAATACGATGACAATCAATGGTAAAACATGCATTTATTCAGTCGTAAGATAGAACCTGGGACATATATGCATAAGTTTAAGTTGTCTCTTATTAAGATGAAACTGCCAAGAGAAATAATAGAGCAGTAGAGTACGGTAACAATATCAGTGATATTACAAAATATTAAGTGTAGATGATAAGATTCAATAAGAAAGAATGAATTCATAGAATAAAAAGAATGAGATAGATTAATGCATCTGTACCATCATTACTGATTTCTGGGCTATTTTCATTTAACGTCTCCAACCAACTGGTTAAAATAACCATATGGAAACGCTAACTATGTAGTCTGCACCTACTAACATGGTTCATTTCAAAGTTCTAAGACTCAATGGACTGATCCTATTTCTCAGTTTGACGACCTTTAGATTTCTTGCAACTTATTCCTATATCACACGCTAAATGTGACCGTTTTCATTGATTCAGTAGCTTATCTGGGGTATGATTAGATTTCCAAGAACGGATTTATCACCCAGTAACCATGATAGTTATGCAAACCAATACTAACACAGAAAGCTGACTCTTCAGTACTGTCAATTAATGTGGATTGATTTTAATACCAAAATTCCCCGAAAAAATTCTCAAATATATATTAGTTCAACTGGTGTACATATATGACCAGATCCATTGACAATGAAAAAAAAGCACCAGTCGTATAAAAACATTTTACTCTACTACACAAAACTGAGAAGTGTTGAACTATACGTTCTCAGAATGGAGATTAACTTGGAAGAGAGTAACTTATTGATCATGTACAGATTTGTATAAGTGACTATGAACATTTCAAGTGTGAAGTTCAATAATCATACCATCCAGTTGTTGCTCAAAGTAAACCAAACAGAGTGGGATTCAGGTTATCGACGTAGTGGCTGAAAGTCGTAGACCTAGCCAATGAGCTATAGCTCCACAAAGTAGACTAAAACTTACAAATTGACAAAATACAGTCTTCTGACAACGTTAAATAACAAAGGAAGCATATTTAGGATGGATTTTCTCTAGCTCTAAATGTTGAATCCTGCATCGAAACTTGTCTCCGTTAACGCCTGAAATATTGAACAGCAGCGAAGTAGATGAGAGTAGTGACTATTTCACTTACGAGTCAAATCAGTCCTAACGTCTTGCTGTCGGACGAAATTTCGGCACATATCCAGAAAGCTCGACCAGCTTTAATCAACTTCAATTACTTGTCGTCTGGGCGACGTATTCGTCTGACAACTAAAGGAGCGAATCATAGCATAGTAGTTCAACTCGTTCTATTTCATTAATGTCAAACATGGCCACATACAATCGAGGATTTTCATAGACTAAGAGTATTCGATCATAACTCTCTTTCAAGTATCGCTCATATCTTTCCGGACAAACCAGTGGGCAATTCTCAGGTTAGGTATAAAGTACTACATACGCATGACAAATCGATTCATGAGGTAGTGATCTTTATTAAATGAGCTTGTTGGCAAGTATATTGAGTAGATCCAACTACCGCCTATATCGACGACACGCGATGTTATCTGGTGTGGGAGTTGGTTGAAAGAAAGTTAGGAGTAGTAAATCAATATAGGGTATCAGTAATTGAAGTCATTTATAGTTGAACTGAGCCATGTTAATAGGTGTAACCTAACTGGTTGAGATTTGAGTGATTATCGTACAAATTATTAAAGGCTTTGGGTGGCATGCGCCAGAACCATTCGTAATGGCCCAGTTACATTTACCCTTTGTCCTTCCCTAAATCTTAAGTCTATAAATTCTCTATAATTTTTTTTATAAAACTGATCTATTTTTTTCGGCTTGTATCTTCGACTTCTAATCTCCTCTATTTCTACAAACACTATTACATACTATCTTATACGGTTGTTTCCATAGACGGTTAATTAGTTAACAGTAATTTAAAAAAACTCAACAAACCTTTACGACTGGCACATTCAATATCAAAACTTAGTACACGTAATGGTGCGATATTACTCCATTGACCTTCAGGTGAATGAACAATCAAAGCATCCCATGCTATATCAAACTCAATTTGACATCTTGTTTGACTAGTTAACAATGTCGAGTGATCATTAACACCATTTTTTGTAACACTGCTATAACCATTTGTAGTAGGGGTCGTTGAAGAATTAACAGAATGATTTGATTTTTGATTTATGGATTTTTTCACATCATCCGATTTCTTTGTAGAATCTCTCAAATGATATTTCTGTGCTGGTGCTTCAACCCAACTACATCCAGTCATTTGTGTATCAGTCATGAAACGTATTTCAAAGTCAATATTCGCTTCAAAAGCAGGATATGGCTAGTATTTATTCAGTGGGGAAAAAGGAAGCAGAAGGGAAATATATTTTCCATAAATTAAATCTTTTTAGTATACTATTGTTAATGATAAATAAACTGGTAAGCAATGATCTGAGTTTTAACACACTTCAGTAAGTGGAAGGACAACTTAGTTGGTTAGATCACCAAACTGTTAAGTGATAGGCTTGTGGCAAGCTCAAATCCCGCTCCTCTCAATTCAGTTTGAACAATCAGGTAGTGGGTGAGAGTAGGTACATGTCTGTGAATCCGTAGCACATCTGTCTAACCTTAACCCTAGTGGATATAAGAGCATGATTTTTGCGGAAGATCTCATTCCAAACCCTAACTCCCACTTTTTTTTATTTTCCCATCCGGCAAGTCGAAATGCACTACAGTAGTGTGTTCATGGAAAGTAAATGTAGATAGCTCTAGATGACTAGAATGAATGAAGACTACACTCTTATATGCACCAGTGACATACAAAATAAATGGGAAAATAGTACTAACGTCCAAGTAAACAGTTTGGTCCAAAGTCACCTACACAAAAAAACCTATAATTGCTAAATAAGTTATGCTCTCCAGTAAGAAATTAACAGAAAGTACTATTGATTGAAGGTGAGACTGATTTTCTTTCCAATCATATTATTGGGTTTCTTGAACGAGCTACTCTGGAGTGAAGGCTTAGTGGTTGAACCACTCGACTTCAAAATGCTAGGTAACAAATTTAAACCCTATTCCTCATATTTCGAGGTTTGAGCAATTTTACATTATAAAACAGATGTGTTCAACATATAAATCAATACTGCTGCTCTGTATTGCTCGATGGCTGTGAAACATAGTCTATGAAAATAGAAGACATGTGTAGCCCACAAGTTCTCAAAAATAAGTGTCTTCAAAGCGCTGCTCGAGAATCACAGAGCGACAGAGTGGATAGTGTTGATGTCAAATGTATAGTATTACATAACGACGATAAACTAGCTGATGACACCTAAAATAATCTTCGATTGAGGCATGTATTACATAAACATAACTCCCACCTACCTAGATATGCTATGCTCATCAGTTTAAGAGTAGGTTGGGAGTAACATAAAGCTATCCAAACGAAGACGTTACATCAGTCTAAAAAGTCACTGATCATTGGAATTGCGCTATGTAGGTAGATGCAGACTTTCTACTTTGAGTGGCATGGCTCTGGATCAGTCATAATGGAATAAATGTATTCGCTTGTTATCTTCACACATTACTTGGACTTCAAGATAGGCTCGTGTTTTTTTATTCAGAGAATTTAGTCCTTCAATTCAAATATTATTTTTTAATGGGTAGTCACTTTCGGTACTAGTAATACTAATATTAAGTCATCTCTCTTGAAGAATTAACGCACATTTGTATCAAACTGAATGTTGATTAGGACTGATTGATTTGGTCTTGTTTACTAATTAACATGAAAAGTTAGACACATCTACAAATTATTGAAGATCAGTTAATTATTCGGTTGACGGATTTCTACCATAGTTTGATCCTAAACTTTTCCACGTAATTCTTAGCCTTAATTTTGAATCAACTGGTGAAAAAGTACACAAATATTTGGAATTTGAAATATCTTACAGAGGAATACCTTTGAAATAATCCCTAATGTCTTGTAAACCACTCATCCTGATAAATATTACTTCATAACTCGCAACAATGTATAAGTTTCAGTAGACAATAGGAAGCGTTGACTACAGTTTATTATTGGACGGAGTATATCACAAAAACACAAATACACAAAAGGAATATGAATATAAATGCGAATGCGAATAAATACAAGCGAACGAATGAATTATTATGATCTAAAAATCACATATATACATGAAAGACAATAAGTCATTGAGAGATCTAAGTAACTAATATATCAACTAGTAAGAGAAGTATGCATTTGGGTTGTAACACGTGGTCAGCAATACATGCTCATACAAACATGATAATAAAACTACTACTACACAGTTATAGACGAACTCTTACTGACCTAACAACACTGTCTGTTAAATAAGTTAATTGAAGGGCTTAACAAAACGAAACATACAAACTCAAATGTAGGTGAGCTGCTATGGCTTTTACTACACCATCAAACCAATAAAAGATCATGGTGTTAAATGTCTTATATACTCTATATATGATTCTTTAACATGGTATTAAAATAATTTGAACTATTGCAACATGGATTACCTCATACAAGACATCACCAAGATACGTACAGTAGAACAGGCTACACACTAATATGTTATATATACTGGGAAATAAATTAAGTTTATAAGTTTGCACAGATTTACTCCAGTGTCCACAAACCAGCTCATTATTAGGAGAGACTATAGATGATGGACAATTGATTACCACATAAACCTGGTATAGTTGTAGATATCAATTGATTAACATTGATTAGTATAACTAATTTATCAAGTAGAAATCTACGGTATAAGCTTTTGGACATATTGAGGGCTTTTAAAACTGTCTGGTTATGCTCTAAATGAAGTAGAGAAATTTGAACGTGTGACCAAGATACTGAAAACAGTGCTTTAATTATTACGTAATCGCTTCTACTAGCGGGAAGATATGAAATGAATTTCAAACAGAGATTTCCCCTAAACTGAGTCAAGCATCTAACTATGGTAATCAAACCGGAATAAGCATGGAGATGAGATTAAGTCAACCATGACGAATTTCTAGTTAGCTACTAGTTAACTAGAAAACACCTAAGTGAAATGGTTTATGGTAAAGAATATAATAAGATTACACAGTGTAAATAAATTTTACATAAATAATGAATCGATTAAAGTCGTCTACAAGTTGATCTAACTTTAAATCATAAAAAACAATGACACATAAACTCGTTCTAATGAATACATAGTGTCCATATGCTGGAACTCTTAAAAGGACGTAAATAATTTTTTAAGGAATAATCAAACTATGGCGAAACTCTAATTTATGGACAACCTTTGGACGAATATTAAGTGACCTTGAAAAATATCAGCCAATCAGCAGTCAGTATAGAGTAAAAATATGTCATACAAAACCAAGGAAATAAAGTGGATACACTTCATATACGTGGTTCAAAAACTTGTCAAGATTAGAAAGAGGTTCAGAGGTTTTAAAATAGTAATACATTCAGTAGAGGAAATCATCCATACGGCCACAGAATAGTCTGCCTCTGGAGCCATGATAAAGTCTCATATACTCTTTCAGCCTCGACCACATAGCTCCAATATTGTTTATGTGCACTCCGGTTGTTGAGTGCACAAAATCCTACTTGTGGATAACGACACGATGCACATAACCAAGACTATGTAGGAGTCTGTACGCCCTCCAAACATCCGTATAAATTGTAGTATCATGGCTGCAGCCAGTGTTACGGGTGCTTTCATTATCCAGTTCGCAATAATTGTCATAATTTGCCTTAGTTAGGAATTATATATGAGGTTTTCATCACGAACTGACATCAACTATAATGCCAGAAATTTATTTAGTCAAATGGATGGAACGCTTTCGCGTTAAAATCCGAGATCTATTATCTTATACCTGATTGATTCGTCTACAAATTATAGTCCCTCCGTTTTATTTGTTATAGCCGCTCAATTATCACGTTTTGAACAATATTCCCTATGAACCGATAGTACGTTAGTATTAAGCACTGAAGTTGGCGCCGTAACCTTGAAATATCTAAAACGCCTCTGTGATAGGCTCGTCCATAAATTAGAGTCTCGCCGATATAGAGACAGTGTGTTAAGAAATACTTCAAGATTAGGAATTTAAGGATATGATTTAAGTTTGGTGTTGATTTACCTGGTATAAACAGTCTACAAGAAAAACTGAACACTCCATGAGGCCAAAAATAATCCCTTCCTATTATTTGAACGTTCCGAGCCAGATATGAAGATGACTCTACTGCTGGTTATACTTGATATTTGAATTCCGAATAAAAAGTTCCGAACCTTATCTCACTTAATAAACGGATTGGGGAGACATATAATACTAATTGGGCATTATAAAAAGTCAGTCAGTCAGCTACAACGTAGGACTAGGCACATATGTGCATCGATCCAGGTTGCCATACCGCATCAACACAACAAGATGAACACCGGATTCATAACAGTGGTTAGGTAAAAGGTGGTAATATATAAGAGAAAGATTGCATATAGAGATATAGTACAAGAAGAAAGAATTGGTTCGTAGAAAGAAAGATATGAAGCGCTTTTAATCTCTTAGTTTAAGGGAAGACAGGGAGTGTATACACCGACGCCATTGTGATCGATTCTGAGCCATGTCACCAATAGTCTCCAACAATTGGTTACGATAGTCACGCGGACCCCAACCAAGTAGTCTGCATCTACCAACATGGCTCAGACTAAAAGTTAGTGACTTCAAGCACTGATGCCACGTTTTGGTTTGGCCGCCCCTAACTTTCTTCCAACCATTTCCAATACCGGATAGCATTGCACGTCGTGGTAATCGGTGTTCAGGCATACGTAACACGTGGCCCAACCATCTCAGTCGATGAAGATTCATAACCTCATCAACTGATTTACCATCCTTTCCTAATACCCTGCGTCTAACCTCACTATTACTTACCCGATTATCCCAGCAGACGCCAGCAATATTTCTAAGGCATCTGTGGTCAAATACTAGTAGCTTACGAGTGTCTTCTACTCTTAATGGCCATGTTTCGCTACCGTAAAGTAAAACAGAACGGACTGCCGCGCAGTATACTTGTCCTTTTATTGAAAGACGGATATCTCGCCTTCGCCACAGGTGACGTAAGTTGGCAAAAGCCAAACGAGCTTTTCGAATCCGTGCTGAGATTTCGTTCGATACCAACCCATTAGGGCTGATCAGACTTCTAAGATAAGTGAAGTTGTCAACGCGTTCGACTACTTCACTCCCTATCCTTAGTTCAGGTGTTAACGCAGACCAATCCTGAAGCAACAACTTGCATTTAGAGGGAGAGAAGCGCATTCCAAACATCCTGGCATTGTTGCTCAGTGCTACCAGAAGACTCTGCATTTTGTCAGCGTCTTCACCAAACAGGACTATGTCATCTGCGTATTCTAAGTCGATAAGTGGACCTCCTGGAAGGAGATCAATACCCGAGAACTCAGTCGACGAGAAAGTTATTTCCATCAGTAGGTCTATGATGAAGTTAAACAAAAATGGGGAAAGTGGACATCCTTGACGGACACCACTTGAGGTTGCAAAACTAGATGACAGTTCGCCATAAGCTCTGACTCGATTGGTAGTGTTCGAGTAAAGAGCCTTCACAAGGTTTATGTACTTCTGAGGTACGCCTTTCAATGACAGACACTGCCACAGAATCTCGCGGTCTACCGAGTCAAATGCTGCTTTTAAGTCAAGAAAGACCACCATCGTCGGACGCCGATAAGTATGCCTGTGTTCTAGAACCTGACGAATGGTGAATATGTGGTCGATGCAGCCACGACCAGGTCTGAAGCCAGCTTGATTTTCTCGTGTTTGCAGTTCACGACTCTTAGTTAGGCGTCTGATTATTATTGAGGCTAGTATTTTAGATATTATATTAGTTAAACTAATCCCTCTGTGGTTGTCACAGGATGATTTTGACCCTTTCTTATATATTGGGACGATAAGTGATTGTGACCAGTCAGATGGAATAACGTCTAACTCCCAGATCTTAGCTAAAATATTAGTCAACCTAATCGCTAAAATTGGACCACCATCCTTAAAGACTTCTGGAACCAGTCCATCTGGACCAGCAGCCCTTCCTCGTTTCAGATTATCTATAGCCTTTTGAACTTCAGCAAGAGTTGGGGGACCTACTTCAATGTTCCATTCACGCTGTCTGGGAATGGAGGGTAGTTGTAGAGTAGCTGAAGGCCAGCTGAACTGTTCTCTGAAATGTTCCGCCCATCGTTCTAAACGCCTGGACTGGGAGCAGATGAGTGTATCGTCTTTTTCCGATATAATCTCACTTACACTTGACTTATTAATTTCAGTTTCTTCTATTAGTCTGTAAAGCTGTCTTGTGTTCCCTATAGTCGCCGCCTTTTCCATCTCTTTTGCTTTCGTTGCCCACCACTGCTCACGGTCGTTTCTTAAACTTTTTCTTAACCTAGATCTGATTTGTTGTCGCTCTTCATCATGTTCGGAACCTGATGGGATGAGTTTGCGAGAATCCATCAGTGTGATAGACTTTGAAGAAATCCACTGGTCCTTTGAAACTCTGTGGTTTAAGTTGCTAATAGATGTCACTGCTGCTTCCACAGCTGCTTGTATGTCTTTCCAAGCAACATCTGGGTCAGCCTCGTCTTCAGAACTACCTAAGTGTGAACTCAGTTGTTCTTGGAACCTATTTTTGGTTTTCTCATTACTCAATTCAGTTCTAATGGGTCTTTTTAATGTGGCTTTTTTGCGTCCGGTGAGGCGCAAGCAGATGCGTGCCCGTATTAGGGCGTGGTCATGTAAATAATAAATTACACTAACAAAAAAAGAAACCATTTAAACTATAAACTAACCTGTAATGAATAATCAGCAAATGATAAACCATTGTCTAATATACGTTTAGCTGGTGCAATTAAACGTGGCAATGCCAAAGTAATACGAAGAAATGGTAGACTACGATTTCCATGAAAACCATATACATCTATGGAAGTTATAACAAATATTGGTTTGAAACAACTTGTATTATTAGGAAAGAATAATTTGTGTTATTGAGCTCTTAAACTAACTTGTTATGACAAAACTATGGCAGCTCACTATTGCTTGACCACTGAGAAGTGAATTAGCACAACGTTTATCGTTGATACTGATCGAGTTCCATGGATTAAGCTAGGATGTAACTACTACTCCAAGTTAGTCGATATTGCGTGTATTGCATTGTACGATTTAGTCGGGGGGTCTAGGTTTCGTGGTAGCTGGTACTTGTCAGTAAGGCATACCTGCAGTATTGAGGAAACTTATGACTTCTTGTTGGATCTGAACCCTCACGTAATGAGGTCTTGATCTAAGGGTTCTTGTCGACCACTGTCAACCACTCAAAACTATGTTCTGTCACAATAACCGTACAAAATTGAAGATTATAGTAAAAGAAAAAGAAATGGCCTTCAGGGTATTTGAAAACGAGACTTTTCACAAGTCATAAATGTTTAGTAAATATTATTAACTAAAGACGACGAGTTTTATGCCATTCTATATGTCATCAACTAACAATATAAATCAGTCGGTCAGCTATAAAATCTAGTATATATGGGTATTTATCAAAGTTGCAACACTAAATCGGTACAGCAAAATCAAAATTGATGGAATGCATGACAAATAAGTTGGAATCATAATAGTAGTAGTTAGTATCAATCGTAGGAGGACTAAACACAGCGAATGTCCCCTTACCCAAAGTCAAATATTGTTACTTTATCCAACATGGTTTATTGGTAAACAGAGAACACATGATGGTCTGTATCTGGGTTGAATCCTTTTAAAATATTTGATTTGTGAGATGGTTGCAACACACTTAATTGTGAGCAACTAAAGGAGCGAATCATAGCATAGTAGTTCAAATCGTTCTATTTCATTACTGTCAAACATGGCCACATACAATCGAGGATTTTCATAGACTAAGAGTATTCGATCATAACTCTCTTCCAAGCATCGCTCATATCTTTCCGAACAAACCAGTGGGCAATTCTCAGGTTAGGTATAAAGTACTACATACGTACGGCGAATCGATTCATGAGGTAGTGATCTTTATTAAATGAGCTTGTTGGCAAGTGTATTGAGTAGATTCAACTACCGCCTATATCGACGACACGCGATGTTATCTGGTGTGGGAGTTGGTTAAAAGAAAGTTAGGAGTAGCAAATCAATATAGGGTATCAGTAATTGAAGTCATTGATAACTGAACTGAGCCATGTTAATAGGTGTAACCTAACTGGTTGAGATTTGAGTGATTATCGTACAAATTATTAAAGGCTTTGAGTGACATTTCTTAGGATTGTTCTCAATGGGCTTGGTTCACTCACCCTTCCTTAATAACCCGAATTCTGAAATTGTATACTTTTTTTATTTTTCTGTACTGAATCTTTCCTACTACTGCGGTGTATGCTACTTATGCTGAACGACATAAGTGGTATGTAACAATATTATGAAGTGGAATGCCTGTTAGCAGAAGATTGGAATGAAGAGAACATAAAGAAAATTCGAGAGCAACCAAAATTACAACAGAATTAGAGGAATAATAGAGTATGTAAAGGACAACGCGAGAAAAATTGGAAATAAGGTATTTAATGTATGGTTTCCATATTTGACCAAGACACTAATGTTGCATTAAACAATAAATTGGTTTCCCTCACCTGAGTTTCCGATCACTACATCACTGGTACTACTAATGATGATGTTACTAATCCTACTACTCTGTGATTCATCTTGAAATGATTTTATCTTGCCGTGATAATCTGGTATCGCAACTTGAACCGATGGACATGTGTCAAGGTTAACGTTGAGTATAACTGACTGACTGAACCACTTAATATGATCACGATTTAGAAGAAAAACTTTCTTAGCTAATAACGTCCAAGAAAATCAGAACATTCAGAGTCAACTTTATCACTAAATAAAAAGCTTAGAAATATCAAGAAAGCAAGTATCGAATACTGTCGTAACGTTCAAAAAGAAAACGCAGTAGGATGGAAAATAGAGGGATAACATTTCAAATGTCAATCGAAATGACCTACTTCGTTTCTCTTCACATGTAACTCTAAGTACGAGATGTTGTAATCCTTCAAACTCTTTTGACTTCTCTTTTAATAACATAGAATTTAAGGCTTCACGAAAAGCATTCAAATGATCCGTTGAAAAATCTTTCGGTGCTGGTACATAGAAATATGGTAGAAAACCATGCACATGCGCACATACACTATGACCCTTTTCAGTTATACCGAACAAACGTATAATTGGTACAGGACCTTGAGTAGCACCAGGCATACCAGTTAGATGTTCACCCTGGAAAACAAAATAAATCATTACAACCTTGTGAAATAGTTTTCTCAGTACAGAAGAAAATTACGCAAATCCGTATTAGTTGCATGCAATACAAAACGAGTTTAACATGAAAGAAAAGACTTCATTCATGAACACAACAGATTATCATAGAACAAGAAATATTTCCATTGTCAAACGACATTCCATATGGATGGTCAGGGATGAGTAACGTATTTATTAATCGCTCCAGTCAATTTAAAATTACGATCTAAATACGCTTAAAGAAAATAGATCAGTCAATAATACTCTTTAAATTAATTGTTTGAAAACAAGAGCATCAATCGTTAAATTTATTCGAAATCTATGTGAACTTCAAAACCATTTATTAAGGAAATATGTCTCACCTGTTTCTTAACAACTAACTAATAATATTATTTGTTAAATCGACTGAATAACACACCAACTATGCATAAATACAGAACATTTTGTAAGTTCCAGACACAGTGGAGCATGTATGAAAACAGTATATGACTTGGAAAATTATTTCCTACTCTAGGACTATTTATCTAATGGTGAATACTTGGCAAGGGTAGAAAGGGACAATATAATTCAAATTGTTTTTATTACAGTAATATATCTTGATGAAAAGTAATTTGTGAAAATTCTATGGGTAATTTTGACCGTCGAGGTAAGGTTCTAGGATAAACTGTACGCTGCTTATTGTTACAATTCTTGTCAAATTACATTAAGCGAATCAACTTCGTAAACATAATGGAGAACAGTGTATTTTTAAGTAATATAATATATATGTAGAAATGAGGTAGGGCACTATAAGTAGATGAAATAGAAACTGAAAATTGAATAAGTGAAAAGTAACCAAGCCCCAATTAAGATTCGGCTCCTAACTCGAGGTACCTGGAAAATATCGGGAATAGTGTGAATTAGGATGAATGATCAATGGCAAGCATTCTAGTCCACCACTCTATCGTATTATCGGATTAATGTTTCACAAGTGCCGGGATTTCTGAATCACATCATTTCACACCGAAAACATTGTACTTTGGCATGTGTGCCGCTAGAAAATAACACTATCCAGATGAGCCATCAGCTTCCTAGAAGGCTTTGTTAACTTTCGTGCACTGAGCAGATACACAAGCTGCATATAAAATATAACGTATAGCTCTCAATGGATGAAACAGAAACCCGGGACTATGAAAGTAAATACATATCAAGTTATCGAACTGTATAAATTAACATGTAAAAAAATATTGAGGTGTACATTTTAAGTTTGACCACAGATTAATGTCGTTACATACCCTCAGGAATGAACACAACCATCTAGACCTGAAACATCTATCTTTAATTCACTATGGTAAGATGAATTTTTATAAGGCGAAAGGAAGTAACGCAGATGTAGAAAAAAGATTTCCAACCCAAGGTGGTCTAGCCTCTAAATTACAGACCTGCTCAGATTATAGTGATTGATCAAAATAAAACATGTGTGATGGGTAGTTTCTGAATCGCACTGTTTGTACAAGAGTTAGTGAGAGGACATGGATGTCAATAAAGAAATAGATAACTTGAATTTCTTGCTTACAACTCGACAGTTGGAATTCAAATCTACTCAATGCATCGAAGTGACTCCGAGTTTGTTACGTGGAATTGTAACATTGTTGAATACCCTGAATTCCCATCAACTTACTGAGTTGTATTATTATTCATTCCAATAGTTCCTGCTAAATCGTCTTTTTTTGCCGCTTGCCAACTAATCAGTTGTACGATAATTATTCTCTCTACCCTCAAGGCCTTTCAGTCATAAATGAAGCTCATGAGTTACGGGTCTCGAGGTTTTGCTACGTGACCTAGCATACCAATCCCTAAACCTAGTTTGAGACGAACTCTTTGTAGTACATACAGAGTAATGGGCAGAAAATCAAGGTCATAACGGTAAATGACTGCCAACAAGTATAAAACTCAGAAAGGCTTAATTTATACTACATATCACTGAAATGACAGTTACTAAGCAAAGTATTTCATTTAAACATCTAAAAGACAATGAGAAGCGAAGAAAACATTATACAGATGCAAATCCTCAACACTAAAGATTGCAGACGAGTCGCATATAACTACTGAATAACTGAATCGAAGAAAGTAATTAAAGCTATTCATAACACCAATTGATGAAGGCAATAAAGAAATAATCTATCAAGCTTAAATGATATGAAAAACAATACAAACAGCATGAAAATTGTCTTCTGTTCAAGTAATATAGTGATTTGATGAGTGATGTGTTAACTGACCGGTGGTATGAACGTACAAAGTATAAATTAAAATCGCCTAATAAATCAAACTATTTACAATAATTTCAACTCTTGGACTCCATAGAGGTATGTTTGGAGTACAATAAAACATGTTTTTTTAAACTAACTTTATAATGTGACACATCAAACTGCTGGAAAATAATACTGTCCTTATTTGGATCCAACTTCTCCAACCTACGTCTTGGCCAATGCGAATTCGTTAGAAAGTCTAGATGAGACAAAGCAGAACTTTCGTCCACCAAAGCTATATCTTCAGTTTCGATGTCATCCAACAACATTAGTTCCTGCTCGAACTTTGAGGGCTCTGGGGTATCATCGTGGTTACCTCTGGTCGAAGAGAAATGTACATTGCAGTTAATACGAACTGAATCTTACTATCACACTGATATTAGTCTGTACAATTCATCTTGATATAATTATTCATAGCTTTAGAAAGCCTATAAACCAACAAATTTGTGACTTGTCACACAATGACACGTTGATCAGGTTACAGCTTAAGTAACTGTATTTATTTACTTGACAAACCTGGATTTGATGCATCACTTTTACTACTGATCATCAGTCACGCGATAAACGGATGGTATGCATAGTACTTATGGAACGCCACCCAACCAAAATCACTGTCAAACAAACTTAGGATTTGGTCTAATACCGTAAAAGCGTCGGTTCAACTGCATTGCAAAGAAGAAATTCGAAATACCCTTTTACTGACTGCCTCGTGCGAGCCTCGAAGATAAAAAGGTCGAATCATATTACGAGGTGAGCACCCAAATCAAGCTATATTATTTGGCACAGTAAAAACAGGCGAGGTAATAGTTTGTGGGCGAACCAATCAGATAAAAGAAAACGAGCTTTGGACCTTGGGGACTAGTTCACCTATTCGTTAAATTAAATAGCATTTCGACATCATAACTGTTAGTTCGTCATGAAAGATCAACTATAAATCCTAGCCCTAACTTTTAACTCCCAACTTTAATCCTAGTAAATAATAATAATAGTAATGAAAAATTTTGAACTCAAGAAAGATGAAGTTTTGCAAGGCCACGCAAGGGTTTCCCAATGGACGTGAAAACCTTACTGTCAACAAGATTAGTATTAATTATTAAATAACCCTTAGGTTTTCATGATGTTAGGTCCATCAGATATGAGTTTGGTTACACGCACGTGTACTCTCGATGCTAATGCTGAAATATTTTTATCTCAAAAATACCACGATATCCACATGTGGTAGGATTAAATGTTACACAAAATTACTGTACAGAAACTACCTTGGTTTTTTAAAAGAACTAGGTCCCTTCTGGGGGACTAATGAAGGACGCTTGATGGACATTGCTGTGATCTTTCGTAATCTGGACAACGCGCTTCCCAAACGAAAGTTGGGAAAACCTTGAGAGAAAATGTTCAAACAACAAAGCACAACTGTGACAAAAAAGATACATAATGAACAAGAAATTGTCCTGAAGTTGAGAATAATAGTGGCCCTTTTAATTTAACCATCCAAGAATAAAAGTTACAGTTCTATCATTCTGTTTCAGGAGTGCATTTATCCCCAGTGGAGATGCTGAAGATGTAGTGTTCAGCTGGTCAAACTGACCCAAAAAAAGCTTCATGATCAAAGAACTCCAAAGTTTTCTTGATATCGTTTTGTCGTTGTTTCCGCGCTAACTTTGAGAAAATCAAAATGTAAGCATATATGTTTCATCTGTAGTAAAATCGATGAATACCAATCCATTTTCTGAATTCTAGGGAATTCTTAGGTGCTTGTAAAAATAGGACTAGACAAATTACGTCACTTTTAAAGCTTTAGCATTTATAATATAGCCTAGACAGTTGATACAGTTAGGTTGGACCTGGCACGTGAAAGGATTTGTGGAAATTATGTATAATATCTGTGTAACTAAACTTATAGATCCAATCCATTATTGTGAACTTGTCATGATTTAAGTACTTAGTCTGTTTGAAACTGCGTTCAAGCCTGCTGGTTATTTCTGTCGTGATAGTCAGCGTAATCGTATAAAAAGAATTGAATATAAAGAGGAGGGATTTGCAGTGACTACTCCTGAAGGGCAGAGCCACTCAATCCCTATGATTCGACCGCATAGATGTACACTGATATTAACTGCTTTTCATCAAACATCCAACGGTCAATGTAAATCTTCTAGTTTGGCAGATGTTCGACCTCATGGATGACTTTTGATAATGGTCTACGGCTATTTAGTTGTTGATATGGCCCAAATGAAATATTTAAACTACGAAGGAGTTCAAGTAACTTCAAACACCACATATCAGTTCTACAATGTGAACTATGATTTAAACTTGATAAGATTTAGTACCTCTCGATTCTGTAACAGTCTGATTTATAACATTCTGAACTGTATCAGGTAAAAACATCATTCCAAAAAGTAAGAAGTCACATCTAAACTACCAGAACGGCGAATTGGTAGTAGTTAGTTCGCTCGAAACTTCATCTCACGAAACTCATAAGAATGTATCTTTTAAGTCTGTTCTAAGAAAGTATTATATCCTTCGCAATCTTTGTTGCGTTTCTTCGGTCTCTTAAGCGACTCGATTTCAAAACTATGTAAAAACAATCTACGCTTCAAGATGATAAGGTCTTTATGTCAATGTGTACAGACAAATGTTTTCAAATTTTTCACGGCCTGAGTGCGTTGTGAGTTTAGATCTTTGATAAGGATGATATCAAAAGAAGGGACGTATAAAAGAATGAAAACTTTGGTTGATGTTGGGCTCTTTAACACGAGCGTTCATGGGCACTAAGAGGAGAAAAATGGCCCGACTTCTAAGTTGTTTCTTGAACAAAATATCCATTTCTCACAGTGATCTGTCAACTAGTAACTTCCCAAGATTATAAAGATCTATGTTTGCAGAGATGCCAGTCAGAACTTTGTAATGATATCAATAATTAGTGAGCCCCGAATGGAGTAAGAAGTAAACAACATTCAAATATGAACTTTGGTTTAAAGTACGCTAAACTGGGATTGCAATGTGTTACTAATGAGTATATTCTAGATCATAGAGTTGGTATGCAATACACAATCTGACAGGCATACAATGAACTTAAGTGTAAAACACACAATCGATTACAGAAACTTAGATTACAAGTTAAGCTGTGGTGGTTGTGGTGTTTGTATAAACTAATGATTCTTTTGTACTCGATGATTGTCTGATTTCGAATTCCAAATACAATGCTTTCGATTGTGCTCATTTAGTTCTATTTGGCCTAGTATGGAACTCCTCAGCAGTGCGGGATCGTGGATGCGCCATCCAGTGCTTCCAGGTTTTCCATGGCGGTCTAGCTTCAACTGACTCATAATTTCAATCTGTGAAATTGTTAAAATCTTCACAAACTCCTGTTGACTGAACACTTTACTCCCAATCATCCTGACCTTTATTGAATGACTATTCTAATTTGCAAATAATACAGTTTTGAAGTATATATATATCGTAACAGACGCAAACGTATACCATTTTCAACACGTAACATTGTCAAATTCATTAATGCCATGTCTTATTTTGGGCATTTGTAAAATATTATAATTATGGACTTATAATTGTAGAGCCTGATGATGAAGTTATTGAAAACAATTGTTCGCTCAAATATTCTTCATTTTTTGAATATTCTATGGGTAGTTTTAAACCGCTGAAATCGGAACTATTTGAACATCATAAGTCACAAAGAGTAACCGAAAATAAACAATATCGTTGTTTGTAAAGTTCGTAAAAATAAACCTAACTACACAATTTGCACTGGTGGACATCCATTTCTCCATGCTCTACGTCCCTTCCTCAGAACATCCATATGAATCATCCAGGGTTCCAGCTTACAACAACCAAGCTTTAAGACTGGCATTTCACTTCGGATTACTAATTGTCTCACATTTCTAACTTTAGCTAATTGACGATATTCTACCCCGATCTTCCATCGCCATTCACAGTGTATATGTAGAATTATGGTCTGCTTCGATATTAGTACTGCTCTAATAATAGACCTCATCCTAAAATTGTAGATTTGTCATGATATAACTACCTAATCTGTAAGGTCTTACGTGTAAGTCACATCGTTGTCTACACCAACTCATCGCATCGTAACAGTCACCAATATACGATGGAGAACAAACTTAGGTTAGAGATAGAACAATATGTTTAATATGAATAAAAGATATGAGGCAACATTCAACAGGGATCACGCCTGCAAGGCCGAGCCGTGCCATCCGATTAATCAATTCAAATAATTGAATTTATTCTACCCGCCTTCTTCTTCGTTGGGTTTTCTCCGCGTTAATGTTGAATATCTATATTCCCAATTGTCTCGTATTCGGCTTTGAGGATTGTGTGGTTAGGGCCCAATGCCACTACATATATTTCACTTCCAACCTGGTCTATATTTACAGATTCTAACTTCTCATTAGAACTTTAATGTCGATTACTAACCGGAACACGATTATTATTCAGATTAGAGCTGGAAGTATACTTAATAAATAAGTAAGAAGAAAATTATTTTTCGGAATAAGTTGAAACTTTGCTTTACTTTTAAATAGATGTTAGTATAATATACTGACAGTCTTGAGGTAACCATTTGGAATTATGATGAAATTTTGTGCATTTTGTGCTCGGTGATTCTAACGGATTTCGAGGTGATTGTTTGCCGCGAAAGTTGTAGCTGCAACCTAACATCCTGTTGGTTGGTAGCTGGGTTATTAATCAGAACTTTCGCTGAACTGATTTTGTTTACTGGACCTAATTTTAATTTTCTTTATTGCGTATATAAAAGATTCTTTAATCGGGAATTCCACTTCTTATTTATAAATATGTATGGTAGGAAAAACTTTACATTGATAAATAATTTGCACGTTATTATTAACGAAGCATAGCAATATTTGATTCTTCAAATGCTTGAAATCGACAAACACATCTATTATGCAACCAAAATGTGATTTTAGGATTATGCTTAGGCTAAATTACAAAAATGCCTACTCATAGGGTATAATTTGTGGCTAAGTATTTGATCAGAAGTTAGAAAGTATTGTCCCACTCTAATCCTTACTTATAATTCTGATCCGACGTTTTATAGGTTTGTAAACAGAAGATAGCATTATAAATGATATCAATTCGTGACAAAAATCTTAACTTCAGTTTGTAAGCTCATCTCATAACTCCATCTTAACTCTTACTATCTAAACCTGACTTTTCCGTATTTATGTTGGTTTTGGTTGGTGACAATCTTAACTTACAACACTAACACAACTCCTAATCTGAAAAACTCAACCTTTTTTCTTTCACTATGGGCGTTAATGCTTAAGATCAAAACCATCGTTTCATTGTTATAATATTAATTTATGCTGCTAATTCTTTTATAACTAGGCCGTGTATTCTGATTAGCTGATATATCACTCATGATCGTCAGTATATTATACTTTTATCTTTAATTATTGTTGTCAAGGCAACAGTGAATTTAAGCAGTAATTAATCAATTAATATAGTTTCTAAGACTAATCAATATCTTTCAAACAATCATTGAATACCCCCTATCGTTAATTTAAAAAGATAAGGTTTGTAAGGTTTATTGATTAATCCTTATCTATGTAAAATGCATTTAAAAAATCGACAAATCACACTGCTCAATCAATAAAAGGTAATATATCACCATCAATCATGTAATTACATCTATCATGAACCAAACGTAAAACGAAACAGGCAAAAGGATAAAAATAATCTTTTAGGTTTTCCACACAACAGCGTTATCAAATGTAAAGTATCAGGAATTTAAATTCATCTTAAACTATGAGAGTATCATAATTATCCATTTTCTTCGATGAGATAATCGTTACACGTCATCTGTGTTGACCTAATAACTTACGCCTGTTACTCCTAATGGAGCATAGGTCGCTGACCAGCATTCTTCAACCGACTCCGTCCTGGGCCTTCCTTTCTAATTCCATCCAATTCTTTTTCATTTTTCTCATGTCTAGCTCCATTTGCCGGTGTAATATGTTCTTTGGTCTTCCACATTGACCTGATAAATGAAATGCAAAATGTAGTTAAGCATACCATATATGTTGGATAAGTTGTCAGCTATTATGATTCAATAGCTTAGTGAATAATTCGCTTCCATTTTAAAGTGATAGGTTTTTCAGCTCCAATCTCGACAGAAATATCGACAGTGGAATATAAGCAGATCTAAAGGGAAAAAATATCTATCCTAAACTTTACTCAATTCATTACCAAAAGCAATGTCAAGGCACCTATGTAGTTGATTCCCACTGTCAAAATATATTAATCCTGAATATTACCTAACAGAAAAGACTAAACTCAACAAATAATAAAGAACTGAAGTCTTTACTAGTTCTCATGCATTCAAACTATAAC